AGAGTGGCATATATAGAACACTGCATAGATTCTAGACATTAGCGGAGTGACATATATAGAACGCTGCATAGATTCTAGATATTAGCAGAGTGGCATATATAGAACACTGCATAGATTCTAGACATTAGCGAAGAGGCATATATAAAACGCTGCATAGATTCTAGACATTAGCAGAGTGCATATATAGAATACTGCATAGATTCTAGACATTAGCAGAGTGACATATATAGAACGCTGCATAGATTCTAGACATTAGCAGAGTGGCATATATAGAACACTGCATAGATTCTAGACATTAGCAGAGTGGCATATATAGAACGCTGCATAGATTCTAGACATTAGCGGAGTGACATATATAGAACGCTGCATAGATTCTAGATATTAGCAGAGTGGCATATATAGAACACTGCATATATTCTAGATATTAGCAGAGTGGCATATATAGAACACTGCATAGATTCTAGACATTAGCGGAGTGACATATATAGAACACTGCATAGATTCTAGACATTAGCGGAGTGGAATATATAGAACACGGCATAGATTCTAGACATACAGTAAGCAGAGTGGCATATATAGAACACTGCATAGATTCTATACATTAGCAGAGTGGAATATATAGAACACTGCATAGATTCTAGACATTAGCAGAGTGACATATATAGAACACTGCATAGATTCTAGACATTAGCAGAGTGGCATATATAGAACACGGCATAGATTCTAGACATTAGCAGAGTGGCATATATAGAACACTGCATAGATTCTAGACATTAGCAGAGTGGCATATATAGAACACGGCATAGATTCTAGACATTAGCAGAGTGGCATATATAGAACACTGCATAGATTCTAGACATTAGCAGAGTGACATATATAGAACACTGCATAGATTCTAGACATTAGCAGAGTGGCATATATAGAACACTGCATAGATTCTAGACATTAGCAGAGTGACATATATAGAACACGGCATAGATTCTAGACATTAGCGGAGTGACATATATAGAACGCTGCATAGATTCTAGACATTAGCAGAGTGGCATATATACCGTATAAAACTCCAAAATTTCGACCGGTTTTAAATAATTTGGGTTGGAAATGTAACGTGTTTTTAGAGTCAAAATTAAGGTGCATTTTCGGGCAGTCGAATTTTTCAGAATAGCAAAACATCAAGACGCGAAGAAGAGGTCAGCACAAAACTAATAGGTCAAAAAAGAAGGCTGTCTCGCACTACCTAGGAAAACTTGCGAATGTTCGAAGTACAGATACCCATTGGACAAAAGATACATGGAAGTTTAGCAAACTATCTCCCCGACCCAGTACAATGTATCCGGTTAGAATCAAAGCTCACGTATCCCTTATTTGAGGGACCAGATTCTGCCGTAAATTCGCCATTGGATTAAAAAATAAAATGGGACTTTTAAGGTGTATTTTGGAGTCATTTTTCGGACATTTCAATCATTCCTGACGGCTAAAATAGTCTAAGTTTTACCGTAGTCATTGACGTCTATTCAAGAGTATGATTTTTATCGTGTCGTTTCGACAATGAGCTGTTATCACTGTACACAATGTTAAATTATTCTTCAAATGCCCAGTTTATTTTTTAAAAACAACTAATTTTTTGATTTAAAAAAAAATCATGCCGTTTTTGCATCAAAATCCAAGCCAAAAGATCGTACTACAACATCAATCTCTTCTGCATTGCGTTCAATAACATTAACATATTTAAATAAGCTATAATTTGAACACGTTGGCATCATCCAGCTTTTTGATTGGTTAATTAGCAATTTGACCTATTTTACCTAAGAGAACATGGCAGATATCCTACAGCATCGAACGTTTATACGAGACCGGAATCATTCGCTTACGATGAAACTAAGTTGACTTTTATTTGTATTTCATAACAATTCAACAAATTTATTTTGTGTACATTATTATAATCACTACCCTAATCAACAATTCAGAAACGCAGCATGACCGGATTTTGCAACCATGATCATTTGCTTCTATGTAGAAGATGTGTGTTGTGTTCGTTTTTATTTGAAACTTCGTTTAAAATATACTTTCGTTACCAATAAAATAAAAATCTCTCAGTCAATCAGAAACCCAAATTCATGCCTTCGGGGAAAGTTCCGTTTGGACGCTCACATCGTGTTTTTTTTCGTTTGGGGGAAAACCAAAGCTGGTCGCAATTTTCGAATAAGAATGAGTCGGCAATTTTTAGCGGAGACGAAAATTTGGAGGTAAATAAAATACAGAACCCCGGCAAATAATCAGGTGTTTGAATTTTTAGAGGGGTCGAAATTTTGGAGTTTTTACGGTAGAACACGGCATAGATTCTAGACATAAGCAGAGATTCTAGCTGTAGGTAGTGATGTATAGCAGGTGAAACCCTGCATAGTTTTGTGTTCTGTTCAATGTACATTTGTAAACTGATTTGATCAACACAATCACTATAGCAACATAAAACCTTTTAAAAGTGAAGCGAAGTCATTAGCCAATTCAAGGCTATATTTTTCAATTCAATCTCTTTGAACACTATTGTATCTCTATTAGAAGTACCATACCAGATCTTACTGATCCGGTGAATCACATTGCAAACAGTGACATTTAGTATCATGTTCAAATACGTAGATTAGTATCATCAGTAATTTCTTTATAAATGGCAGCACAAATTAATTAATTCTGTCAAAAAACAAAAATCGTAAAATCTGTATTAGAAGCGGCATTCCTAATAGAAGCCTCACCCATTTTTTTGAACAATTGAGACCCAAAAATTCATCATTTCTCATACGTGTAGATGCTCTAATAAAAGCCGCATCCTCTCTGTTGTATTGTACCATTTTAACAGAAGCCAAGGCTTCTAATACAGATTTTACAGTATTCTTTGAATGCCATAATGTTTTCGCCAATATTTTGCTCAATTTCAAGTTTTTTTCTATAATATAATTATGCATGTTTATTTTGTGAATTGTGACAAAAGTTGACATTGGTGTTCAAAGGTTAAGCACACAATGTTAGTTATAGATTTCAAGTTCAAACACATTCATTAAGTGATAATAATTCATATAAAATTGAGTGTTCTGCAGGCTAAAAACATGCAATCATAGTGTATATACTAAGATTCTTACCAAGTAAGGAAAAGTAGGCAATAATAAAGCGAATTTCTAATTTATCTTGAATTGCCTGTATCATGCCAAGGAATGGTGGAATTATAAATGCCAAGTTGCTAACAGTATTCCCTACAGAAAGAAAAAAACAGAAAACAGTTAAAAATTGTATTCATGGATGTATAAATTGAAAATACAGCATTTGTTTTATCAGAGCTGCACCTAAAAATTGCATTTCCACACATCTCTGTTATTTACGGTATGTAAACAAATGTGTGATACTACCGAGGTGGGGGAGGAGGAGGGGGGGGGGGGTAATAGAGTAATTAGAGTACAAATAGGTAATTGAATTTGATACCTCCAATAACGGAATGGTTTCCGTGTCATCACCTTAGGTCACATCCCCATAGTGTTTAAATAGAAAGAATACCTTTTAAAAGGTTTTCAAATTTCTGAGAAAAGGAATCAGCACACAAATTTGCAAATTGAATGCGTTTTTCTCAAAACTCAACATTATGCTGAGCCATTTATTCATAATTTGATGTCGCATGCAGATTATGATCACAAGCTTTTCAAGTGAATTCATTTCTGAAATTACTGAATATGACGACTGAGAAAAACTGATCTCAAACCTTGCGAATATGAAAGCCCAATATTAGTAAGCGTCAAATTTGCCTAAGGGTTATTCAGAGACCGAATTTTATATTCTCTATCATTATTATTGATCGATAAATGCACACTGATAAAAAAATGATATGTTTTCAAACAAATTTGGGGATTATGGGCAATTGAAAAAAACAAAAAAACAATTTTTTCCATTAATAGAAACTGAAATTCTTGACAATTTTAGAGGTCATCCTCCAATGTCACAATTTATTTGAATGCAAAATTCACCTTCTCATGAAATGACAAAATATATTTAAATAAAAATTGAACACTTTTTGCATGCTTACTAGTGTAGTGAATGCCTGACCTCACAGGTTAACAGTGTCAGGCTAAATTCGGTAACTTGTCAGTCTTATAAAATTGCATGGTATACCTACAGACACAAAATGCATGACTAAATCAGCTGGGATTAAAAAGCATTTTTTTTTTCAGATGACCTTTTAACCACACAGTGACACTTGTTGCTTCAATAATTTAGCGACTGCTCAGCAAGTCTGCACATTTCGAGAAACATGCTGTGTTTAAATCAATGACACAGGAAAAATCCCACACATAATTGTGTGATTGTGTTGCTACAACCTGTTTTCAGGAGGAAATTTTAACCATTTCAGTAGTCTTCCGTGAGATAATAATCTTATGAGAGAACCTCACAAAGCATACACATACATCAATCAACACGATACTGTAGTCACACTTATAA